GACAAGAAGACCAAGAATATGTAAATCTTCCTACGAATGAGACAAAGTGAGATTTCCAACCAAAAAAGGCAAAACAAGCAAAAGCATTTCACAAAGAAAGCACTTCGATTCTTATCCAAGGTCACTTTGTAAAAGTTGACTTTGCTGAACGAACGAATGAATGAATGAATGAATGAATGAAGAGTCCAGACAGATGGAGCAAGATTTTAAATAAAAGTGGTTTGCTGGGGGCACCTGGGTGGCTTAGTCAGTTAAACGTCTGCCTTCGGCTCAGGTCATGATCTCAGGGTCCTGGGATTGAGCCATGAGTTGGGCTCTCCGCTGAGCGGGGAGCCCACATCTCCCTCTGCCTCTGCCTCTCCCCCTGCTTGTGCTCTCTCTTGTGTGTGCTCTCTCTCAAATAAATAAATTCAAAAAATTTTTAAAAACTGGTTTGCCAAGATTTGTGAAGAAAATGATACAAGAAACTTGCCATCCATCACCAAAGCAGAATAACATGGCGCCACTATGTGTGTAAAAAGTCAGAATGGAGAACACGGTTATCGTGAGGAGCACCAGGTGATGGATGAGAGTGTTCCATCACGAGACTGTACCCCCGAAACTAATATCCCACAGGATGCTAACCACGGTGGAATTAAAATAAAAAAAAAAAAACTTAATTTAAAAGACACATTCCAAATGCGGAAATAAAGAAGTCAGAAAGGAAATGAAGATCAGAAATTCGCGTCTTGACTGTACAGAAGAGAAGATGTGTAGACGGTACTTTGTTCACGCCGAAGCCGGGAGTAAAACGGGAGCTAAGTGGGTCGGGATGCTTGTTGAAGATAAATTGGAATTGTGTGTTGGTGTTTGAACGTCTCTGAAGAAGGATGAATGCATCTCCCTGCGGTGTGAGTGCTGCTTTGATGCCGGACGTCCTTTTGAGCCATATAAATAGTGTGCATGTGCTCATACATGTGTTGGAACACCCATCCTAGACGACACTGTGTTCTAGGGTCTAGAGGCAGGTGCGTGAATAACGACGGCCATATCAGCTGCCTCATTGGGGAGGCCAACATGGAGACATGGGTTTTGAATGTGCTTTTGGAATTATGCCCCTGAATGGCTCCTTAACTGGAAGCTTGGAGGACACAGGACCGGGGAAGCACCTCGGAAGGTACTGGAATGGTCCAAGGTGTTGGAGTTAAAGATGGAAAAGGTCGTCACTGAGACAGCAGCACCATGATGACGTGCTGGAAGACATGTGTTGACTTGAGATGCATTTGGGATGCAGAAGCTGTAATTTGTGAGAAGAAATTAGTGATGCACATAAGGGGGACCTCCAAGTCCCTCCATGAGGCACTTGGGTGGGGGGGGCAAGCATTCCATTGGCCAAGATCGGGAACACAAGGCAGGAAGTACATTTGGAAGGTGAGGCAGATGACCATCTCAAGGCAGACTATGGAACTGAGTATGTACAATGTCTCTTCTAGGGCCAGGAGAAGACCCAAAAGGGCCAGTCGGCTTTGCGGGCAAGGGGTTCCTGGGATCGCACAGACACACGGGGTTTGGGAGGTAATGGCAACCGTGAATATGAGCATGTGGCCAATGATAAGGCAATAGGACCAGACCGCAGCCTGGGACCAGAGCGTCAGGAGTGGAAAAGTGATCAAAACTACTTGCCAGCACCAAAAAATGTTAAAACGTAGAGTTACCCTATGACCCAGCTATCCCCACTTCTAAATACATAGCCCCGCGATTGGGAACAGATGTTGAATCTAAGCTAGCACGTCCATGTTCATAGCAGGATTATTCACGACAGCCAAAAGGTGGAGACAACCCAAATGTCCACGGATGGACGAAGACATGAACAGAACGGGGTCTGTCCGCACAGTGGACTATTACTCAGGCGTGAACAGGGAATGGCACCCTGGCACATGCTACAATGTGGATGCACCTTGAAAGCGTGAAATAAAAGCAGCCAGACACAGAAGACCGCACATCGTATGGTTCCACTCACACACAGTGCTTAGGATAAGGAAATGCACAGAGAGGAAAAGGGAGTACTGGCACGCAGGGGTGGGAGGACGTCGGTTGGGGAGGGCTGCTTGATGCGGCTGCAGGGTTTTTCCATCTGGGGCGATGCTCTGGCACAACAGGTGGTGCTTGCCCAACACGGCGCACGTGCTCAACGCCACTGAACTGCACACTTTGAGTTTGCTCATGTTAATGCAAATTTCACACCAAGATAGAAAAAAGAGAAGAAAAAACAGCATGGCCAGCGTGGGTGGATGAGCATCGGCAACCGAGGATGTGAAAGACTGAATGTTAAAGTGAGAATCACCAACACAGGGCGTCTCCGGGGGCTCAGTCAGTTAAGCGTCCGACTCGTGGTTTATTTCAGCTCAGGTCACGCTCTCAGGGTCGTGACATCGAGCCCTGTGTCGCGCTCTTTGCTTAGCATGGAGTCCGCTTGGAGTGTCACCAATGCCACAGGGAGTGAAGGAGACGGGCCAGTGCCCTCTTTAGTGATGGCGACATGGTTCATCTGGACGCATGCCACGTCCCGTGGAAGCAGGAGCCAGTGTAAGAGGCACGTGTGCAAGGGATGGGCCACAGGGTGAGGTGCTCGTTTCAGGAAAAGATGGAACTAGAGCACGTGTGTAGTTAAAAAGAGTCCATTAGGGTGACGCACCATGCGACTCTGCAGCCATCGGCCACAGTGATGGACAGCTTGGCCCCTCTGGGAAGACGGATGAGTAAGCACCACCGCCATGAGGGACCCCCCTCGAGCTCGCTAGTTTTGGCTGCCTTGCTCATACAAGTGGTTTGGCTCCAGGGAAATACGGTCTGAACAATGTGGGAAGACCCATGGAGACATAGCCTACTCCACCAGCCATGTCAGAGAAGGCTTCACGGAGCAGTGGCATCCATGTCAGGGCGTTGAGTGACCTCCCCATGGCTGCCTGCCGTACCAGGTGCCACAGAGCAGAGGGCACAGGACAACGGACATGTCCTGTCCCTGTTCTGGAGGCTGGAGATCTGCAGGCCAGGTGTGGGCAGGGGTGATTCCTCCTGGAGGCTCGGGGGGCGTGTTCCATGCATCTCCGCAGCTTGTAGTGTTTGCCAGTCATTGCTGGTGGTCCTCAGCTTGGGGGGGGGCATGCAACACCGCATCTGCGCCCCCAGGTCCACATGACATTGCCTATGCATCTGTGCATTCACTGGGATGTCTCCTCCGTGGACGTCTATCTCTACCTCTGTCTCTTCTCTTATGGGGACACCTGCCATACTGAACTTGAGCCCACCCTCGTGGTCTCACCTCCACGCGATCCCGTGCAAAGACCCTATTTCTAAATAGGGTCACATTCACAGAGCCTGGGGGCTAGGACTTCAGCATTATTTTTGCAAGACAGAGGGACACGGCTCAACCCGCAGCAGGGTGGGAGGCGTATGAAGAACCAGGGTAGCCGACGAGCAGATGAAAGGCACTTCTCCACCAGGGAGGAGGATGAACAAAGTCAGCGCGTGGTGCCGCGGGATGAGAGGCAGAGCAGCACTGGATGGTTGAGGCAGCTGGACACGAGGACACGAGTGCCAGACAAACAACCTAGGGCCCACGAGATGCAGACCCCAGGCTGGCCTCTTGTTTTCCCTGTTGTAAAAGCCCGGTGTCTCTCTACCCCATTGCTCACATGGATTTATGGTGGTTTTCAGCCGGCCTTGCCTCACGGCCTGTGACCATCTGGTGGTAATCAAAACGCAAGGATGGAGTCATTATTAAAACCAGCAGGACTATTAAGTGCGGCGTTGTCTTTTGAGCTCCACGTTGTTTATAGGGATGGGGCCCATAGATGTCCGACCCCTGCTGTCCAGAAAAGAAAATCTGGGGAATAGCTAAGTGAGTCATGAGAGGCTGAGGAGGCGTGAAGCAAACAAAGTAATGGAGGCAGAGCCAGCCCCGGGCAGTGCGCGGAGGGAGGCAGGGCTCACCCCCGGGTCTCCAGACCTTCCCAGATGACAATGTGCATCTTTTCACTCTGGTCCCTTCCTGGTCCCTAGCCTGCCGGGTCCTCGGCCGCCAGGGACACACGAGATGAAGGGAAGGATGGAAGTTTCCAACAGTGAAGGTTAAGATCAGGTTCCAACAGTGCCGGTGATAAAACACTAATAAATACATCTCCAGGACCGTTCATGATATGTATTGACATATCGGCTGATTGTAAGGAAAAACTAAATACGGATCATCAGGGAAACACAAATCAAGACCACAGTGAGATCCCGCCTCCCTGCTGTTTGTCAGAATGGCTAAAGTCAACAACTCATGAGACAACAGGTGTTGGCGAGGATGCGGAGAAAGGGGGACCGTCTTGCACTGTTGGTGGGAATGCGCACTGGTGGAGCCCCTCTGGAGAACGGTGTGGATATTCCTAAAAAAAACTTAAAAATAGAGCTACCCTACAACCCAGAAATTGCGCTACTGGGTATTTACCCCAAAGATATAAACACAGTGATCTGAAGGGGCACCTGCACCCCAGTGTTCACAGCAGCCATGTCCATAGTAGCCAAACTATGGGAAGAGCCCAGATGTCCATCAAGAGATGAATGGATAAAGAAGATGTGGGAGATACAGACAACGAAAAATTACTCAGTCATCGGAAAAGATGAAATCTTCCCATTTGCATTGACGTGGACGGAACTACAGAGTATGACGCTGGGTGAAATAAGAGAAAGACAATGTGATTTCACGCATACGTGGAATTTAAGAAACAAAACAGACGAACGAAGAAGAAAAAGAGGCAAACCAAGAAATGGACTCTTGACTCTGGGGAACACACTGCTGGGGAGGGGAGGTGGATGGGGGGGATGGGGGAAACAGGTGATGTCGTGATGAGCACCGAGTAATATACAGAATTGTGGAACCACTATATCGAACATCTGAAGATAATATTTCACTGTATGTTAACTATCTGGAATATAAATAAAAACCAAAAAAAAAAAAAAAGAATATAAAATGTTACCTTAGTCTCCCGGGTAGACCAGAAGTCCCTGTCTTGACTTTCTGTCTGGTGGCTAAACTTCCATTATTCTGCAAGGAAACCGTGTCCTGGGGAGACTCTCTGCCCCGGCTCATTGACCTAGGAGAGAGTCAGGTTGTAAGTGGTCTTCCCCCAAGCCAGAACCCATCCCTCTAATATTGGGGTTTATCGTGTATGCAAATGGGAATTTTATATGTTTCATGCCGAGTAGAACTCTTTGCTCTAAAGGGCAGAAAAGGCTCCTTTTCTGAGATCGATGATGCGCTTCACAGGTGTCCACCCTCAGTCAGGGATGCAAACATTGCAGGTTGGTGTAGGGATGGGAGGCGGAAGGGGGTGGCCTAGCAGGGACATGGCCCCCTGGGGGTCAGCACAATAACCAAGGGGCTTCCCATTCCTCATCTGGAAGTCAGAGGGCCCTGCAAATGCTCTCCAAAGCCTCCCCCATTCTTACATTTCAGGTGTTCTTTTCTTTTTTAAGATTTTGTTTATTTTTTATTTATTTTTATTTTTATTTTATGATAGTCACAGAGAGAGAGAGAGAGAGGCAGAGACACAGGCAGAGGGAGAAGCAGGCTCCATGCACCGGGAGCCCGACGTGGGATTCGATCCGGAGTCTCCAGATCGCGCCCTGGGCCAAAGGCAGGTGCCAAACCACTGCGCCACCCAGGGATCCCCATTCCTCCGTTTTAGATCAATGTGATGGGAGTCATTTCCGACCTTGGGTTGGTACAGGTGCTCGCATCCCAACGATCTTGTCAACCTGTGAATTCACGACAGTCTGATTTCCCCAACGCGACCTGAAGACGAAATAAATATCCTTACACGATTCGAGTTTGTGACACAGGAACGCAATCGTGATGACACACGCCGAGTAACGCCGGTGGCGTCTTCCTGCCAATGGCACATACGATGACTTGGGACATTTGAAAGGCACCGTGTAGTAGGACGAGAAAAATCCTACGTGAAGGCGAATCACGTAGCACTTCCTTGTATATGATGGGAAGACTCAGAAGACTGGGACTATCCTAATCGTTAAACGGTGACAGCGCAAGTTCAAAACCGCCGTTCTGTGCTCTTTTCTTGTATATTTCCCCGATCCACCGCGCTCTTGCATTGTCACAGCTGGATGTTTCTCTTTGCAGCATTTCCGGGCGCGGCGGGATTTAGCGCGGGACCCACGTCAAGACACATTAGCAAAGATGCTCACTTTCCAGAGGGACCTTGCTCTGGGGAGACAGGGGTGAGCTGCCCTTCCACTTCTCATGCCCGTTCCTATTATTTCATTCCTCATTGGGAGACTCCCACTGGACCGTGCGCCGCAGGAGGACGGTCGGGTCAGCCACCGCCTGGCCGTCCCTGCTACCATAGCGACGCGTTCCTGTCCAGAAAACACCCGTGCGTCCTTCCTTCTCCGAGGGGAACTGAAAAGTGAGGGGTTGATGCGGGCATCGCCTGAGGACTTGTCCCTCTTGAGAAGCTGTACCTGCCCCCTTCCCACCTCCTGCGGTCATGCTCTGCTCATTTCCATCAAAAACAAGCCGAGTGGAAAACGCGTTCCCTTCTGTTCAGTTCACCGGAGACGAGTCAAGACCCGCCACTGACATTTCCAGCTCTACTCAAGGTTGCACGGAAGAAAGGAACGGATGAATCACTACTTCCGAGGAGAGCGAGCGGAGCTCTCGACGTGGGATCTGACCCTTGGAGACAAAGCAAATGGGAGTTTGGGCAAAACCGGCAAAATCCCATCTGAGCAAATCCCATCTTTGCCGGAAAGCCACGATGCAGACAACTCCCCCTAAAATAAAGCAAAGGGGATTATCTCCAAGAGGAACCCGGTTAACCACGTTTTATGGGGTCGATGCAGGCACAGGGAGACGATTACGGTTTCTGGGAGGTGAGGCTTTCATAGCAACTTGGGAAAACCCGCAGATCCCCGCGGGGAGTCTGTTCTCGGCCACTCCTCACGCGTCTGTCACCGAGAGCGCTCAGACCCAAATACCTTCTCTTAAGTCTCTAAATTTGCGTGAACGATGAGATTAAAGTTGCAAGTTTTCTAACCGTGGGGAGGCGATGCTGACAGCTCAAATTACAGGTTTTCACAGCCCCGGTGTTGTGCCTTATTTTTGCTTCTCGGAAACAAGAAATAGGCGTGCATAAATTAACCCGAAGAGATACTGCAGCCAATAATTAGCCACGCTTGCAGTGCAAAGTATGGGGTTGGTAGCGTGAGTCACAGAATATACAATTTTCTCCTGATCTGGCGCAGAAAATACATCGCATTCAGATGGCTCTTGTGTCAATCATAGCGAAAACTAAATCTACCCCCCACCCCCAATTTTTTTGATAACAAAACCCCCAAAAACGCAGAACCCAAACAACAGGCCCTGCATATTGATTAAAAGTCCAGATTCGTGTGCATCTTCGGGGACACCTGTCTTTGGGGTCTTGGGGTCACTGGCTATGGGAACGCAGATCCTTTTCACTTCCTGTCTCTCTGTTCATATAACTGACCCGCCGTGCACTTGAAATTCCTAAAATCCACCTCGCTTTCTCACATGAGCCATTCTTGTGATGTAGTGACTAATGCTATTTGCTTAATCAATGTTCATATTGTTTTTTTTTTTTTTAGAAAACAAATTTTTTTTTAAGTCGGCTCCACATGGGGGCTTGAACTCACAACCTTGACACCAAGACCTGAGCTGAGGTCAAGACTCAGATGCTTAATTGAACCACGTGGAAGCCCCTCCATGATCATATTCTTGGCAGTGATATTCCTATAAGTTTCAAGAACTCTTTCCCTGTGCGTTTTAAATAGAATTTTAAATCATTCTTTGGAAACTCTCGCAAATCATTTGCAAGCACTTCTCCTCGCCCCAAGCTCTGAATAATATCCATACCTTGAGGGATCCTTGGAGGTTTCATAGAACTGAGTTAGGAAATCTATGAGCTGGAGCATTTTTATGCAGAGGTAAATCTTTCCAAATTTATTTCATCACTGAGACGGGTTTATTGACCTTTGCTTTGTTTTACTAAATTTTGGCAGCGCATGCTCTTCCTGCAATTGTCCGTTTAATTCTGCTTTCCAGGGGCATTTGCATAGACCGCTGCCAATTGCATTGATTTTCATGATTAACGCACCATTTCCAAGTCCGTTTGGGGCACGTGCACCCTGTCCTTCTTTTCAAGTTGCTTTCCAGTGGTTTATGCGACATTTTTTTTGTTTGTTTTCAGAAAACTAAGTGTCTGCTCTATCACACACACTTCTTAAAAATATTTACTGGGCATCTCTTTTGGACCATGCAGTGTTCTAGAAGGTGGACAAAACACGATGGCTGCAATAGCGTCCACCAAGTGGATACTGACAGCAATGCACCTGCGGGAGTGTCTCGGTGGGCAAGCATGGAAAATACATGCATGTCTGTATGAGTGTAGGAAATGTATAGTCTGTCGCGATAGGTGCTATGGAATCCAGGTAAACAGGATGAAGACTTAAAAGTGATATAGAGTCTATGACAAGGTAACATTTGAACACAGACCAGAGAGGGCGGAAGCAGCCAGTGATGCTCATCTCTGGGCGTTGTAAGTCCTAGCAGGGGCAACAGCCAGTGCAAAGGTCCTGAGGTGGATTGCGATCCCTGCAGAGAAAGGAGATCCAAGTGTCTGAAATAAAGAGACAAAACCAAATGCTGGTGGAGTTGGAGGTCAGACAAGTAGCTTGCATCCATGTCAGGCCCCTGTCGGCTTTGACACCAAGGTAGGAGTTTATATTCCCAACAAACGATTTATCATTTCTGCTCTTCATCTACATACTCATGTACTAAACTCCTCTTTTAATCATGAAAAAAAAAATCATTTTCTTCCTTTCCTGAGATTTGTTCTGCTTTAAAAATTCCTCAGTCTGGTGCTTCATTCATTACATAAAAACTAAATTCATGCCAAAACAGTCAATCCCCTTCAGGCTCCAATGGGAGTAAATTTTGCCCCATCCCCAAATTTCTGAAATGGTATTTATTTCCATTTCCTCCCCCTGGCCCAAAGGCCTTTAAAAGAGACTTTAAAAAATTCCAGTCCTGTAGTAGTTTTGTTTGTTAATACCTTGTGATTAAACTCTAACTTCATGACATTATGGCCAAAAACACGGTTAATCATATTTACACTGTTTGGATTAATGATGTTTTGCTTTTGAGCTAATATATGGTCTGAAAAAAACATAATATGTATTTTATGGATATGGATTTGATTATACAGCCATTAGATTTCCCTTCTGCTATATAATTTGAATCCTTAATATCCCTATTCCCTCCTTTGTCTTCTTCAATCTGTCATGCACAAATGTCTTAATAGGAGTTTTATTTTTGGTCACAGGGAAGATGAGGTTATTTGACCCAATAGTCCTGCTGAAACAAATTGAATGTGCTGGGGAAGCCGATCTGTAAAGCATCTTATTAAAAGCATCACAGCACTGATGGGATGGCATGATATCATCTGACTATGGTCTCCAGGGAGGCAGCAATGCAGAGAAGTAACGGGATCCCTGGAGCCACCTTTTCCCCAGAGGGCAGCTGGTGAACTGATCAAAATTAAACCTCGTTTTTAACATCTCCCTCATGTTTCCAGAAAGAGAAGACAAAGGCTTTATGTCCTGGTCAAGGTAGAGAGTCTAATGGAGGGGTTTTCCTGCCCCGAGCTACAATTCTGAAGTGTTCTAACAGCAGTTCTCAAAGTCTGGTACAGAGAACCTCGAGGGGTGGTTCCTTGAGTCAAAACTATTTTCTTTTCTTTTTTTTTTTTAGGATTTTATTTATTTATTCATGAGAGACACAGGCAGAGGGAGAAGCAGGCTCCCTGCAGGGAGCCCAATGTGGGACTCAATCCAAGGACCCTGAGATCATGCCCTGAGCTGAAGGCAGATGCTTAACTGACTGAGTCACCCAGGTGCCTATAAGATTTTATTTCTGGGGGATCCCTGGGTGGCTCAACGGTTTAGTGCCTGCCTTTGGCCCAGGGCGTGATCCTGGAGTCCTGGGATCGAGTCCCACATCAGGCTCCCTGCATGGAGCCTGCTTCTCCCTCTGCCTGTGTCTCTGTCTCTCTCTCTCTCTCTCTCTCATGAATAAATAAATAAAATATTT